TCTTTTCACGGGAAAACAAAAAATCAGAACCGATGATCCAATACACACTAAACCCATACAAGATCATTATCAAATGAAGCTAACAGATGAGGAGTGAAAATTCAAAAACCGATCAAACTATCAGTATAATTATTCAGAGATAAACATCAAATAAACCCAAATTTGTTTGATCTCTCCTCGAATCCACAGTGGGAAGCCATCAAAAAGGGGATTAAAATCATACCAGGTGGTCGACTATTGTCAGCGTAAAACGACGAAGAAGGTGTCTGCGATCGAGAATTTTCACGATACGATGGGTTATTCGACCAATCAACCGGCGATCGCTGGTAAGAGCCATGAGAAATCATCGGATCAAACCCTCCTTGGGTTGGATCATAGGATTCAACCGGAGGGTTTGCTAGAAACGGCGGTGCAGAAGCTGGAGGCTGTTGCGACGGATGAGAAAGCCAAAACGGGTAAGGTACACCAGAGGAACTTCCATAGCCAAATCCATCTGCCATCGTTTTTTCTTCCCCCAAAAAGTGGAAGAGACTGGTGAAGAAGAAATGTGTTGCTGCAGCTCTCAAGTGTTGAGAATGTCAATGCTAATCGGAATAGAAGCTTCTTAGTGGGCCTTTTAATGGTCTAGGCCTAATAGGGGGAAAGCCCAGAAATATCTTAATAATTTATTGAAAATTAAATTTCATAAGTGTGCTCTTTGGTTCAGCTTATTTATTAATACTAGCATTGATCCACATGGAAGCTTTGGGTAAAATCAATTTCATCCCTAGATCGGCAACAAACCGGCGACAATTAGAAAGACAAAAAAATGCATCTCATTTGTGGTTATGTATTTTCTGAAAATGAAATTTTTTAGTGATATGTTATATCGGTGAAACTCTATAAAAAAAATATTCAAAAATAAACCGACTTCTATTAGTAGTTTAATTTCCTTATTTGCTTAATTTTTATTTCCAAATGCAGATATTTTAATATTTATATTCTTCAATACATTTATTATTAGTTTACGGTTTTTTAACCGATTTTAAATAGTATATATATTTTTTTTAAAGTAAAAAATTTCCCTTAAAATGTAAAACTTGTTTTTGATAAAACACGTGATAATTTCACGAAACGTAAATCACGAAACGTAAATAATCTCTCATAAAGTGTAGTGTTAATATATGCTAG